AAATTGAGTCTTTTATTTGAATTCAATTTTAAAATTTATCATTATATGTATCTATTATCACGTGATTTAAAGAACATAGATCTGTATTATTTTGCTGATAATCACTTCACTGACAGCTCATTTAATCAACATCATGCTAGGTAAATATAATACCTGCAACTAATAAACGCTTAACCCTAACCCTATGTGATGACGGCTAAATGAACTTTCGGTGAAATGATCGGTGAGTTAATCGGAACTGTAATAATCATAATAGTTTTAAATGTCAGGTCATTCAGAAATAAATAAGAACCTTTGATTCAATTCCATAATCTTTTATCACCTTAAAGAATCCATTCGAAATATTCATTCCATCATATTTACCATTTAACAAACCGAAGTCAATTAATGTTTCTTTAAGAGTCCAGTATTCGTCTATATAATGTGCAGTTACTGAAATAAAAGTTTTGTTGTTCGGGGATATCCAAAGATCTAATGTAAAGGAAATTTTAGAATCGATAGTAGAAAAATATGCCTATAATAGTATAAATACTTAGTGAAATAAAACATAATATTTGAAATAGTTTTATCATATCATTATTCATAAGAGTTAAGAATTTTAATAATTTTTTTTTTAAACTATTTAAACAAAAAGCCCCGCATTTTAAATTGAATATTAAATATTTCAAACCGCTATAGTATTCTAAAAATAATACCTAATATAATACCTCTGTCCTTACTTAGTATTTATTGGTAATATTCAATTTAAAAATAAAATTTTTCCCAGGTATTGTAGATACTAAGAATGCTCTCAAGCATCTAAATTAATAGGTCAGTGTTCAATTTTTAATTATGAAAAATATTTTTTCTGGTCAAGTAAGTCCGTTATCATAATAAAAAAAGATGTTTGAGACCTTTTTTTTTTTTTTATAATCTAATTGGCTAAAATTAATATCGTATTTTGTACTATGAATCTCCATAAAGATTATTTAATACTTGCGCATGACTTCTGTCACTGGCCAATTATATTAAACGAGATGCTTGAAAACACCCTAAATAATATGGATATAATAATTATAATACTTGTCTTCAATTCTCTTTTTCCAAAATCATAAAGCGACTTAATTTTATTCTTTATTGCATCAGCTTTGACTAATTGTGGCTTAGGATTTAAATACTGAATAATTTCAACTAACTCGGGATCTTCAATGATAGAGAATGGATGTTGCCGATTGATGATCCAGGTGGCAAACATGTTACAAAGTTTTACATTATTAATATCAGTTAAAGTTGTAGCGGTGGAGTTCCGAGGATGCTAAAGTTATTTTAAATTAGTTTATTCTTAAAAAAAACTAAAGAAACAAGTAATAACTTACTCTTTCAAATATTTCTTCAATATTACTATTTTTGTTTTGCACCTTCTTTTTTTTTCTATGATATTCCTTTGTTGTAATATACTGCGACCAGTGTGAACTTTCTAAATATTGCCAAAGTGGGTTAGTTGAGCCCCCAGATCCACAAGAAAATAGTTTATACGTGCACTTTGGTATATCACACTTTGCTGCTTTCTGTTTTTTTTTCTATACAACTTTTTTAAAAAATAACCATACTTCACTTTCATTAATTCGCTTGCTAATACTATTATTTTTATGATTATCATCATGTTTATCATCGTGATCATCATCGTGGTCATCATCATAGTTATCATCATAATTATCATCATGGCCATCATCGTGGTCATCATCACGGTTATTATCAGCTTGTACAGATAAAGAACTCATTGTTACGAGGAAATATTTACACTTAAATAGTCGATACTGAGTATGAGAAAGTTTACAAAGATAATTTCTTCTAAAAGCAACTTTCTAGAATATATTGTCTTATATATATATTATTACATATTATTTTGAACTAGGGCTAAAGCAATCTATTAAAAACAATGATCATTCAATGTGCAAATCAGGTAACAACAAGAATCTCAGATTTTACTACTAATGCTCAATCAAGGAT